CTGAAGAGGAAGTCTTTCTTCCATAGTGTTTTTTTAGATCTCTTATTGAAGATTAGATGTCCATAGGTCTGTAGGTTCAATCCTGGGTTTTCAATCCTATTTCCTTAGTCCTGAGGTCTCTTCTTGTGCCAGTAACCAAGTTGGTTTGGTTACTATGGCTTTTTTTGGGTGGGGGGTCCAGTTATGGGGTCTCAAGGCTAGTGTTCTACCACTTGAGCCACAGTGCCACTTCTGGCTTTTTTCTCTTTGCTTATGTGGTTCTGAGGAATCCAACCCAGGGCCTCATGCATGCAAGGCAAGCACTGGACCACTGGTCCACCTTCCCAGCCCCTACTATGGCTTTGTATTAGTGTTTGAAATTTGATATTGATATTCCTCCAACACTGTTCTTTCTGTTAAGGATCATTTTTGGTATTCCGGGTCATGGCTATAATCAAGAACTCTAATGAAAACACATGCTGGAGGGGATAGGTCCAGAAGGGAACCCTACTGCATTGTTAGGAGTGTAAGCTTGTTCAACCACTTTGGACAGTAGTGTGGAGGTTCCTCAAAAGACTCCCCAATGACACAGCAATCCCACTTTTGGGCATTTTCCTGAATGATCACAAATAAGACCATACTAAAGCTACCAGCACAACTATAAGTATTGCAACATTATGTACCATAGCTAAGATATGGAACCAACCCAGATGCCCCTCAGTAGATGAATGGATCCAGAAAATGTGGTATATATACAAAATGGAATTCTATGCCTCCATCAGAAAGAATGACATTGCCCCATTTGTTAGGAAATGGAAAGATTTGGAAAATATTACATGAAATGAAGTGAGCACGGCCCAAAGAAACATAGGTCCCATGGTTTCCCTTATTTGCAATAACTAGTATATGTTTGAGACAAGCAGAATAGGTCAGATAAGTTGATGTTAGGTAAAATGAACCTGAAGATATGTATTCAAATGATTTTGCTTTCATGCAATTGTTTCTAACATATTTATAAGATGATTTCTTTGTTGCTTTGTATGTCCCTCCCCCACAGTATAACCCCTGCTTCACTGTATTTGATGTTGGTATAATTTGTGGAGGGGAAGGGAAAAAAACAACTCATTTAAATAGAGATACAGGTGGACCCATTGCAACAATGAGATATACAAATCATTATGTTGAAAAATGAACTTTACAACTTTGGTGAGGGGTAATATAGAAGAGTGGGGAAAGGGGGGAGACAGGAAAGGATAGGAAGGGGAAATAAAGGAGGAGGCAACAATGTTTGATAAGAAATGTACTCATTATCTTGCCCATGTAATTGTAACCCCGCTGTACAGTATTTTCACAATAAAAAATTCACAATGAAAACAAATAAGATCAGGGATGCCACGGGAAAAATTAGAACAAATACCCAAACATCCAAACAATTATAAATACTTTTGAAGAATCTATACTCATTAAGGAAAGAAAACCTAGCAGAATTGGATGAATATTTACACAAATACAAATTGCCCAAACTGAACCAAAAAGAAATAAATCAATTAAACATGCCAACATCTTACAATGAGATAGAGGAAGCAATCGAAAGTCTTCCAACAAGGAAAAGCCCAGAACCAAATGGATTTACTATGAAATTCTATAAGACCTTTAAAGAGGAACTAATTCCCATACAACTCAGACTCTTACAAGAAATAGAAACAGAGGGAGCTATACCAATCTCATCCACAAACCAGGCAAATCCCAAAATAAAAAGAGAACTACAGACCAATTTCCCTGATGAACACAGATGAGTAAGACCTCATGGACTTTCATACCTGGGCTGGTTTCAAATGTCAATCCTTGCATCTCAGCTTACTGAGTAACTAGGATTACAAGTGTGAGGCACAGGTGACCATCCATTTAATTTCTTCAAGTAAAAAGATAATACAAAACTTACTGAATATATTGAAAACTATTTTACAGTAGTTTGATGATGATTATTATGATATAGTTGAAGCATATTTTGCAGATATACGTTTACTCTGAGTTCTTAATAATGACTCATAAATATGACACTATTGAAACATTAGGTATCTTCTATCCCCAGTATTTTTCCTGTACTGAGACCTCTCATATTTTGCCACCTTTGGGCCTTTGACATTACTTCTCAAAGGACATCAGCATTAAGTGATAAGTGTTGATGCCGGACATGATTACTTCAACAAAAATCACTGCTACCCAACCATACATGCCTCTGTCTTTATCCTTTCCCAGTGAGTGGAAAGATCATCCCTTAACAGATAACTAATATATCCAGTTGCTTCTCTATGAGAAAAAGAGAGAGACATTGAAAAAGAGAGACAAATACACACACACACACACACACACACACACACACACACACACATACGCAGAGTAAGAGAGGGAGAGTAAGAAAGAGAGTCTTGATCTCTTCTCAAGCCAGTGAAATGACCCATTGCAACAATGAGATATAAAAGACATTATGGTGAAAAATGAACTTTTCATCTTTGGCAAAGGGGAGGGGAGGAGGGTGGAAGGAGGGAAGATGGGAAAATTTGGGAAAGGGAAACAAAGGAGGAGGCAACAATGCTTGATAAGAAATGTACTCATTAACTTATCCATTTAATTGTAACTCCTCTGTAAAGTATTTTCACAATTAAAGAAAAAAAGAAAAATGAACTTTACAACTTTGGCCGAGATGGGGGGGGGGAGGGGGAAAAGGGGAAAGATGGGAAGGGATGGGGAGGGGAAACAAAGGAAGAGGCAACAATGCTTGATAATAAATATATGCATTACTATACTCATGTAATTGTAATACCTCTGTATGGTATTTTCACAAAAAAACTTAATAATAATAAGTTAAAAGGAAAATGAGTTCTGTTAATTTTAAGACCAAAGACTTTCATCCATTGGAATATGGAATCCAAATGAAACAGGACTAAGGACAGGTTGCATAGTTCCAGGGAACTGTGTTCTGGTCTCCTCCATGTGGAGGATGCAAGTACTCTATTCAAGAAAGATTCAGAGCTCTGGGAAATCCATGTGACCTGTGTATTTAGATCCAATAAATGTGTCTCTAATTACTGCCCAGGTTTGCCTGTGGGTGTTTATAGAACTTGTCTCAGGATCTAATTCTTTTCTAATACCTTAATGGTCTTGAACATTCCCAAGAGCTTTCTAGAGAGAGACTCTTTGTAATCCCAGTGATATATGTAAACATCTATTGACTGTACAGTTCATAAAAAATTAGGACTGCAGTAGAAACCTCTCTTTTAAGTTTAGCTGGATCTCAACTTATATCTATTTACAATTGGTGGAGCTCAGAGTGGTGCCTGGTTTATGATCATGGAAGAAAGGGAAATCTTGAACCCTTCCTAACCTAAGTTCATCCTGGATGTTAAGTTTCAGTGAATATTTGTGAAAAGATCCAAACTCATTCTTCCATATTACGACAATACAAAGTCTGAAGTTGAAAGTGCATTGCCAGCCCAGTTAAGGTACAAGAATGCTACCTATCTGAAAAATAAAAAGGATGATGAATGGCTCATGTGTAGGAGTCAGGAAGCTTCAACAAAATAAATATATTCTCCACTTTGTCACTCAATGTATTATACATTGCTCATCCTGTTATTGCAAAAATCTTTATAGATTTAAATGGATATTTTTGTCTGCTTCTCTTTTAGAATTTGCAATGAAAGCATATAGATTAAAAGAATAGACCACATTTCATAAGCTTTACATTTATATGAATTACATTTTTAAAAATTCTAAAACCTTTTATAGGTGAATGAGGGCTGTGGAATGAGATTTTTCCACACAAGAGTTTGTACCTTTGATTCTGCTAGATTGAGCCATGGGAGAGAGCACCAAATTAGTCCTCTCAGCTTCTGAAGTACTCTGAACCCAAGTTCAACACTGCTGATGTGGTGCTGGTCCAGGTTCTTTCCCCCTCTTGGTCTTTGGCTCTGTGAGGATGCCAATAGAAGGCCATTGTGTCAGAACTCATCTTTATCTTTTTTTTCGAAGAGACGATTATTAATTACAAACAAATGGAACTGAGAATTTTGAGGCCTCTTAATTTCAACTTTTACATTCACAATTCTGAGCACACATTTCAGAGCCAGCATGAGCTTCTTGAAATACTAACTCTCAAAAAGTGTGCTCACTTTTCTGCTATTATCTCATTTCTCCTTGTCTTTGAGATCATCTTGCTCTTGTATTTTTATGTTTGTCATGGGGAACAGTATTATACACCTTTTCTAACAAATGGAAATTAAGTTGAAGAGAACAGACTTGCCAAAAGAATTGGAGGTCTCTATTATCCATGCAGTTGATTCCCGAGTCAGGTGAACACCAGCTGGTATATTGACATCAACCAAAACTAGGAAAGCTCTTAAGCTTCTGATCCAGGCTGGCTTGAATGAGGCAGGGGTTAGGACATTTATAACAGTTGAAGGACCATCTATAGAAATGTTTTGTTCTGTAAGCCGGATATTTGTGAACTTAGAAATTGAAGTATCACAAAACAGATGTGCTTGGGGAGGAAAGGAAGACATTGACTTGCTGAAGATCAGGGGCCAATATAAAATGTGTGTATATTCTTTAAGATGGCAATTCAGAAAACCTCAAAAAGACCATTTTTATTTGCGCAGCTGTTTTAGTTTCTATGAAGAAACTGATTGAAAATAAGCTATTTTATATTTTAGTGAAGTGGAATATCCAAAATAATTTATGGGCACTCCTCATATGTAACAATTGGTTTCAACTATTAAATCACAGACTCAGTGCCATGGGTATTTTGCTGGGGCTAAGAAGAACAGAATGCTAGATTGCAGACAATTCTTCCTTTAGAATCTGGCTGCCTCTGAGAAGCATTATCAACAGGTAGAAGAACTAGGCTGCCCAGCATCTCACTTCTGTTTTCCTGGGAGGTTTTTATCATCGCTTATATCACTGGGGGAGGGAAACTGATATGCTGTTGACAGTAATAAGTAGGAAAATATTCAGGCTGAAGGCTGCTGATGGTGAGAGAATAATCTGTCCCAGAGCCACTGCAACTAAACCTGCATTGGACCCCTGAGGCCAGGCTTGACGTGTAATAGATCAGGAGCTTTGGGGAATTCCCTGGTTTCTGCTGATACCAGTTTAATACCCTGACTGGCTCTGCAGGAGATGGTGATTGTGTCTCCTGGAGATGCAGACAGGGAGGATGGAAACTGGGTCATCTGGATGTCACATCTGGCACCTGGCATTGGAAACATAAAAGCAAATATCCACATTATCACTCATGTTATTATTGGACTTCCCTGAAGCCATAGGCATCACTGACCACACAGGGTGAGAGAAGTATTATCCTTTCTTACCTGGGAGGCAGAACAGCAGGAGACCCAGGAGATGAGTAGCAAGCCTCATGTCCATGCTGTGTGCTTATTGGGAATGACTGCTGCACAGGTGTGAGCAGCTTATTATGAAGTCATTGTGGCAGTAGGATGTGATCTAGGCAAATGCAAATCAGCAGGGCTGGACAAAGATGGATATAGCTGCAAGGCTTGCTCATCTCAGGAAATCATCATAGGTCCATGGTGCCCATGTGTCTTAGTTTTTGACTAGAGAATATGATTCATTCAAACAGGACAAATCACTATCAGTCTCCTCTTCTATGCGTAGATCTATTGGTTCTTGCAGGGGTGAGGACCTGCTTTTCTTGTGGGTCCTAATTTCAATTCTCTGTAGTAACTTTGAAAGGGATAAGATAATGGCAAAATGAATGTTTTATAGTCCGTTTGTGGACGAAATAAAATATGGAAGAATAGAATTTCTGGACATTTTAAACTGGTTTAATATCTTTATGCAGGGGAACGTCTCACTTCCATAGCAAGTGAGACATAAGCTGTTTTTATGTCAGTCTATTCCAAAACACACATATATACATAAAATAAAATGTGGATTGTAACTGGGCCTCGGTGGCTCATACCTGTAATCCTAGCTACTCAAGAGGCTGGGATCTGAGGATTGTGGTTCATAGCTAGTTTGGACAGGAAAATACATGAGAGTCCTATCTCCAATTATCCACCAGAAAAATGGAAGTGACACAGTGGCTCAAGTAGTAATGCACTAGCCTTGAGCTAAGGAGCTCAGGGATAGCGCCTAGGCTCAGAGTTCGAGCCCCTCAACCATCCCTCCCTCCCCCAGAAATGTGGATTCTCCTTTAGATCAGGTATAAGGCTGAGGCAAACATTCCCTTATTTGACTTTACTATGTAAATTATAAAAATTCTTAAAGAAAGGAAAGCAATTATAACAATGGCCTAAGCAAGCCATGTCCTGTGGTTTGATGGCTAAGGGGCTTAAACAAAAGATTGTTGCTACCAAAAAAGACCAAAATTACCTCAGTATTTGTGATATGCCACTATCTCCAGTTAGATGTTTTAATCTTGGACTTAAGACCACATGTTATCAATGTACATGCTATGTTTAAGGATCTTACAATGACATACAATAATACAAAAAAGGTGATTAATTTATCCAAAATCTGCTTCCTCACGTGGAACACTAATAATTAAGAAGCATGTAGTCTCACATGGAAGGTGGTCAGAACCAAATCAGTGAGTAAGAGAAAGGACATTGAGACAATGGCTTTATATATCATGGTGTTTCTTCCTCATTGAGCTTCCAATGTTATGATATCTTCTCTGGGAATTCATTATGTTCTTACCCTTGCAAATAAATAGGATGATACCCAGATTCTTCCTTTCTGTCTGGGAATATTAGCAATCTCGAAGCTAGATCAGGTCAGAGAAGCTGTCTGTAACAGGTATTGAGGAGAGCAAGGCAGACTGAGAGCTCATCCTCCTAACCAGAAAAATTGCTTTGGGCCAGAGGCATGTGAGAGCTTTTTCTACCTGTAAAGAGAATAAATTTCTACTATCTCGAACTTCCACAGGCTGACTCTGGTGTTCCAGAGGTCTGCAGGTGAAGGGCCTGGAGAAATCACTGGCTAGAGCCTATTGTTACAAGGTTGCCAGCCCTACCTCTAAGCTTCTTCACTGGATACTGGTGTGTAAATCCTGCCACCTGCTGGAAGGAATGGTCAAAATGAGGACAGCATGGTTGGTCTAAGTCAGTGCCCAAGAGAAATCTAGGTAAAGATGGTTGATGAAAAGACAGCATTGGGATATGTTAAATCATACAGGAATCTAAATATCTACACAAAATCAGGCCAAAAGAGAATACTCTTAGGAGATAAACAATTAGGCAGAATGTCTACATGCCTCTTCATATTTATATAAAATTATATGTATATATTTATATATATCTAAATGAACTCAATGATACAGAACAAAAGATCTGTCTTTCTTCTTTTAATTTTTGATGATGCTGTTTTATTCATATATGGTAAACTGAAGTGTACATACTCAGGAGGGTTGAGAGAATACAGAATTGTATAGAATTTGAGATAATAATTGTGAATAAGGGCAGCAGTGGAGCTCACTGGACATGCATTGAAGTGAACTATACAACTTTATATATTTCATAGGTGGAGACATGAGGGCGGGACTGGGAGAGAATGAGGGAACAGAAGAGATAGTACAAAATTATCTCATTATCCATGATCACTGTACTCATCTGATTCATATAATTATAATCCCTCTGTAATTCACCTTAATAATCACAATAAAATAAATATTTTTAAAGATGAGTAGTACTTATAAACCTTGTGAAAATGGAGAAAAACCTAATGGAAAGACATAATTTGCCATTGTGAGGAGGAAATCAGTTCCCAATGTATTAAAGATTTGACATAAGCCACTTTTCAAAGAAACTGAGAGATCAGGAAATAGATGAACTCATAAAAATAAATTGCCATGATTTTGAGAAAACTGAGCATCCATATGCAGGAAACTAAAAATCGATCCCTGTTTGTCACCATGTACAAATATCAACTCATAGAAGATCAAAGACCTCATCATTAGACCTGCAACTTTGAAATTACTACAAGAGAGAGTAGGAGAAACACTAGAATTCATTGATATTGACACAAAGTTTTAGGATAGAGTTTCAAAGGCATACCAGATAGGAGACAAACTTGATAAATGGGATTGCATCAAACTAAAAAGTTTCTTCACAGCAAAGGACATTGTTACTAAACTAGAAAGATAGCCAACCGACTATGAGAAGATCTTTACCAGCAATACATCTACAAAGCCTAATATCCAAACTATCCAATGAACTTAAGAAACTACTCCCTCCCAAAACAAGTAAATCAGTTAGTTAATGGGCAAAGAGCTAAGGATAAATAACTTAGAATATGAGGTAAGAATGGCAAAGGAACACATAAGGAAATGCTATTCATACCTGTCCATAGAGGATTTGAAAATTAAAAACAACTCCTAGATTCCATCTCCAGTTAAGATTGGCAAACATTGTGAATTCAAATAACAAATGTTGGCAGGGATGTGGAGGAAAAGGAATCTTATTGCACTGTTGGTGGGAATGTAAACTACAAAACCATTTTGGAACAGGCTGGAGGCTCCTCACAAAATGAAACATAGGTCTTCCTTGAAACCCAGCTATACCACTCTGCATCTACCCTGAACATCACAAGCCAGGATACCAAATAGACACTTGCACTTCCAGGATCATTGTCACACTCTTCAAAATACCCAAGTTGTGGAAAAAGCTGATTTGCCCTACAATAGATGAACAGTTGAAATGTGTTACCTATTCAAAAAGGAATTGTACATAATCATTAGGAAAAAAATGATGTCATTTGCCTGGAAATGGATGGACCTAGGACAAATCCTGTTTTTGGTATGCCAAGCTCAGAGAGAGAAGTAGTGCATGTTTTGTTTTATGTGAAGAGTCTATATCTAAAATATAGGTCTCTAGGCATGTACACAAAGTAAGACTAAAGGAGGATATTCTTATTAGAGCGACAGAAAGACACAATGCCTGTGTACTTATTTTTACTTGAAACATATATTTTTATTATAAAGATATTGTACAGAGGGATTACAGTTGCATGAGCAAGGTAATGGGCCCATTTCCTATCCAGTATTGTAATGAGCTCATTTCCTATCCTGCATTGTTAACCATTATTTTTTCCCCTACTATTCCTTTCCCTTCCCACCTCCCCAACTCCTCCAACCACCTCCTGAGCAATGTTGCAAAGTTCATTTTCAACATTGTACATCTCATTATTACAATGGGTCATACTGTATCCATATTTCTGACCACACAAAATAACATCTATAAAAAGGAACTCAAAAACATGGAAATAAGACATATTTTGTTTATTACTCTGTTTCTTTCCTTGTCTTGTTTGTTAGTTAATATATCTTTGGAGGGTAAGGAGAATCACAGAAATGTAGGCACAAAAGGTGAACAAATGCAGCAATGGTACTCATGGACACTATGTTGAAAATGAACCATAACACTTGTGGATGGTCCTTTATGGAAGAAGCTTTGGAGAAACTAGAAACTCATGGACCATTCCTCAATATATTGAAGGCTATATATAACAAACCTACAGTCAGCATTATACTAAATGGTAAACAGTTAAAACTATGTCCTCTAAAGATTATAACAAGGCGATCTGTTCTCTCTGCTCTCTTCATAATAAAGGATTGGGAGGAAAAAGATGTGAAAATGGCAATACTTCCAAGATCTATCTAAAATTTAATGCAATACCCATCAAAATCACAACAAAATTTTTCAATCAACCAAAAGAAGCAATCCAAAAATTCATGTGGAATAATAGAAAACCCGAATAGCTAAAGCAATTCTTAGCAGGAAGAACACTGCTGAAGGAATAGCAATATTTCAAACTCTATTATAACGCTGTACTTAAAAAAAACAGCTTGGTACTGTCACATGAACAGGTTTGTAGAACAATGGAATAGAAGTGAAGACCCAGAAAGGAACTCACAGACTCATGGCCACCTAATCTTTGGTAACATAACCAAAAACAAAGGATGGAAGAATGACACTCTCTTCAACAAACAGTGCTGTCAGAATTGGCTCTATATGTGCAGAAACATGAAAACTGAAATTAAATCCTTATGTATCACCCTGAACCAGAATCCACTCCAAATGGATCAAAGACCTTGAGATTCAAACCCCAGTACTACCAATTATACCAGCTTCACGGTATATTTGTGTGAGTTTCATGCCACTTCACCTATTGCAATGATTGGTTACAGACCTGTTTTTGCAATGTTTCACATGTCTTCCAATCTTCAGCTTA